CAGACAGGCGACCATTTCTAATCTGCAGTAAAACACGTCCCACTTCAGCTAATCAACCCTCTTATATAGGCCAACAGCACGTGCACTCCAAGATTATACAAGAGTTTGGGCGATCCACATAGGTAGTCGAGTTTAGGCAACCCATCAATGTGGTTGAGTTTGGGAGAGCCAAACCTACTCTGAACGTTGAAAACCTGTCAGGTTACGAAATCACTACAGTATTTATGAATGGCGCGATCCCGCGGAATTTACTTGATATGATACAAAACGATACAATTGTAGCACTTATTTTAAAATATATTTCAATGTAGGTTGTTCAATTAGAACCTATGAGAACAGAAACGGTAAATAGGGTCCAAAGGATTGTCAAGGTTATTTTGGTATTAAAATAAAACTTACAAGCCTTTCCAAACTTCCAGGACACAATAACTCAATGAGGGTATAAGTAGGCCTAAATCAGGCATCATCTATGGCTCACAATATCTTCAAAAAGTTAAAACTCCATTTCTAATGAATTGTCAAAGTGAAAAGAACTGTGTCGAATGGGTTTCTTCCGGGACCAGTAGGCAGGAAGTTTGCCAGGATTTACTGTTTGCCAAAAATGTGTCGCATCGTCTCCCAATTTCGTAGTGTATTTTTTGTTTTTCTTTTTTTTTCTTTCACGTTTAATGTGAACATATTATACAAGTGCGGTCCATTGTATTATTACATAGTTACGTGGATGCTTCGGCGAAAATAAAATTCTTTGATTTCTATAGGCTACATGAATTATTCAACAATAGATCAACATAAATTATTGCGCTATTACGAAGGCCCATTAGTGCCAAACAAAAAAAAATATTAATCCGTTTGAACGAGTTAGTATCTCGTTTGAACGAATTAATTATCTCGTTTGAATTAATTAGTATCTCGTTTGAACGAATTGGTATCTCGTTTGAACGAATTAGTATCTTGTTTGAACGAATTAATTATCTCGTTTGAACGAATTAGTATCTCGTTTGAACGAATTAATATCTCGTTTGAACGAATTAGTATCTCGTTTGAACGAATTAGTATCTCGTTTGAACGAATTAAGAAGCCTACAGAAGCAGGGAAGGGACATGCAGGAATTGTGTTTTTCAAATAAAGATAATATGATTTAATGCGCGTAGGTTCTTTACTATTTCTGGCGTTAGCGTCAGTAGAAGGAACTACACTTGTGAAAAGGGGAATTAGTATAGAATACCGTGGAAATTATCCAATTTGTTTAATGTTAGCCTGGGTTAGCCACACCATTGTAGTGAAGTCATTGTTTATGTCATGTACAGGCATTACGACAGGTATATGTATGATATTGTAAGGACGTGGATTTGAAATGCACCCAATTATTAAATAAAATGGTAGATTGTGCCTTAGCTGAATTTTCACTATCTCAGTGAACAGCACTACAGGTATACGATTGTATGTAAGCGATGTTTACATATTAAGGATTAATGTTATTGTTGCCAGATGAACTTATTTCCAGTGTTGATTGCCTTGGAAGACGATTTCGGTGAGTTTCTAACATAGAGGGATGAGGTGGGAGTGTTAAAAGAAATAACCAATTTTCAACAGGAAGCATGCAAAATGAAACAGGAGTAGTAGTGACGCAAAATTTATCGCATTGCACGTCGCATCCCTCCCACGAGGAAACCTTACGGAGAAGCGGCGCTGTCGTTGGCCGACTTCCTCGATAGGACAGAGGACTTGAAACCGGGCATTCCATAGCGGAACGCTGGCTCAAGTGAGGAACGGCTGTTCTAACCGCCCTACGCTTTATTACCGGGAGGCCTTTCCCTCTTGGTTCACCTTTAGCCATCGTTCCCCTCGGCGGCTCTCGGTTTCACCTCCCCTGTTCTCTCGAGCAAGTCGACCAGCAGCAGCGTCGCTTTGCCACACGGGACCCTAGTGGAAGGAATGAGACGTTTCAAATCTACGTCTTTACAATATTAAAGATAATTTGTGTAAGATTTAGAGAAAGAGCTGGTCGGTCTTGTAATAATAGTTCAAAAAAGATAATGCAAAATGAATATATTGAAATTTTCATTACATTGCTTTACTCTGAGCGACGATATTAGCCTTTGAAGGTTTGACAATGCACGAATGTAACCACCGTACTGGTTGTTTGAGGCTTAGTCTCGCGTTATCATTTTTCAATTAAATCATTAAATGGCCGAACCGTTCTAATCTACTTAAACATGTTAATAAATGTCTAATGAATAGTTTATATAACATTTAAGGCCTACAGAAAGAACTGCAATAGGCAGATTTAGCTGTTGCATAATGCCTGTTTAAGCATATAAATGTCATAAAACAATGACTTCACTACGATGCTGTGCCTAATTCAGGCTAGCATTAAACATATTCAGCTTTTAAAACGTGGATAACTTCCAACATATTCTATACTAATTCTCCTTCTCATAAATGTAGTTCCGTCTACTGACGGTAACGCTAGAAATAGTAAAGAACTTATGTATTAAATGACATAATCTTTACTTAAAACACCTGTTAGGATCACAATTTCTGCATGTCCCTTACACGCTTCTGTACAATCGAAATCTTAATTCGTTCAAACGATATAATCAATTCGTCCAAACGAGATAATCAATTCGTCCAAACGAGATAATTAATTCGTTCAAACTAGATAATTAATTCGTTCAAACGAGATACTAACTTGTTTAAACGAGATAATTAATACGTTCAAACGAGATACTAATTCGTTCAAACGAGATAATTAATTCGTTCAAACGAGATAATTAATTAGTTCAAACGAGATACTAATTCGTTCAAACGAGATACTAATTCGTTCAAACGAGATAATTAATTCGTTCAAACGAGATACTAATTCGTTCAAACGAGATACTAACTCGTTCAAACGGATTAATATTTTTTTTTTTTGCATGGCACTAATGGGCCTTCGTACGCTATTGTAAAGTAATCTTGGTTAACTATCTTGGTTCAAATGCATGCATTTTTCGGAAGATAACAAATTTCTCATGGCTTAATCTACGCTCATGCATGTCTACTCAGATTGATTATTTATCATTTATTCTTCCGACTTGACTTCAATCAGATTAAAACAGGTCCATCACTTAGGACTAGATTCCACGAAACATAAAGATGGCGGTGGGCGTATTATAATATCCGACAATAAAGACTTATTTACTGACGATTAGCCTACCTTAGATTGCAAAATGGCGGACAGTTCAACTTCAAAGAAATGCTGACCTGTGTCTTTGAGAAAAGTTAAAGTGTACCAATATACACGTAGCAGCATATTATATAAAATGTGTTACCGTTTTATTTCTGTTTCATTTGTTTCGTGCAATTGCCTACAGTGGAGTAGATGTCAGTAACTAACACAGCTATGATTTTAGGTGAAAACATTTAATATTTCAGAAAAGAGATGTAAGAAAATAAAGATAGTGGGAAGGGCCAATTAGCTGTAAATAAAAGGAGAGAGAGAGGGGGTGTTTGTGTGTGCGGGGGGGGGGGGTAACTTGTAAGTAATTGGTTTATTTTACGGGCCCATTTTCCTATGAAAAACATATTTAGCCTAACTTTTTATAATCCGGATAAAACTAGAAAAATAATGTCATAGTACCAATCAAATAAATTAATCAGCTTGGTTTGTTGACAAGGTCCTAAATTCCTCCTTAATTTCATATACGTTCACCATTTAATATCTTGCCGATTGTTTACATTGGTTTTCGCGGCTTCTGCCCAGTATGTATAGTAAGCTGCGTGTCATATGACGTCAATGGTGTGATCATTCTACAGTGTAATATTTTTATTCTGTGATCACTCAACAATTTTTCAGTTGAGATGCAACATTCAAAGAAGTACGCTTACTTTTTATTAGAAAACGTGTGAGGCTGTGAACCACCCTAACTAAGTCCAGTGGTTTTACGGATTGAGGTAAATTTGCTGATTCTGGACTTGTACATATTTATTATTCCCAAACTTTCGGACCTTCCGACTACAGGATTTATAGAAATCTGCATAATATTACTAACTTCAACACAATTGCGGGATCTGTTATTTTATTTATTGTATGTAAATATATAATATATATGGAATGTCTTAATACGGACTGTGTTAAGAGTAAAATAATTGGGCAAACCTGTTTATAGGTGACTTAATTGCATATCAATTTTACCGATTATGATTTTGTTCCTTGTGCAGACATATTGTTAAAAATTCAAAAGATAAAAAGTATAGGCTTATAGTATACACTTGACAATGGTCCCACTGCAATTGTATTTTTTAATACAACTGCAGGGCATATATATAACAACAGGAAATGCTTGGTCATGAGCTCCCACCCCACCTCTCACACAACTTTGTCTTGCACGTGCTTGTGGTACCAAAGGTATGACGTGCGTGCGCCACTTAATTTTGTTTTCGAATATGCAAATGGTGCGGATGAATCATGAACTAGGGCCCACGAAGTGAGGCCCTGCACAAATCTTACCCGCGGAGCAACCCCACTATAGCTCGCTGCACTATATAAGCGCCTGTCATATTATGTAACCCTGGTGTAAGTCTTTGCTTCATGACTTCATGTCAAAAGATAAAATCTTAGTTTGCGGCTTAGTTTAGTTTTTATTTTGGGGATACCATGATATTTTGGGGACTGGAGGATACAAGGCAAGGCAATTGTTATTAATTGGGACTATATACTGTAATAATTATAGTCTTCGTCTTATATTGCCCAAATAACGTCCAGCTTTATGTAAAAGAAAATGCATTTACCTTGATGGGCAGGATGCATTTTTCATTTAGATAATTTTCACAGTTGCATTATCCAATAATTAATCAATAAAAAGTTATGTTAAAATGTAATCCAAATGGACACCTTTTGCAAGATGACTCAGATTTCGATAGATCTTTCGTATAAATACAAAGTTAAAAATAGGTATCAACTCGAGTGTAATATCCTGTCTAGAAAAACGTGATAGCTATATATAACTACATTTAGATAACGATTGTGCCATTCTCCTAGCTAAAGCGGACTATTATGGACGCTTTATATTTTATCACAAACTGCAGCTACCGACATGGTTTACGCAAGGACATGACAGACTCTTAAAAGTGGCTTCTGTTTCAGCTAAACTTTAAGCAGATATACTGGAAATTATAATGTCAAAATACCCTTATAATTTTCACTGGATATACTTAGATCATTAGAAAACAAGGTAGGTACCGGTATTGAACTAGTTACGAGAACGGTATACCGGTGTGCTTGTCTACCTATAAAAAAACAACAAAAAAACATTTAACTTTCATACAAAATTTGCTTTCAAACATAGGGTTTAACAGATGGCACTCGGCTACGTTGCACAGGTAATATATCGCTTTAATCCGCTAAAATATAAAAAATATCAAGGCTTAAAAAATTTCTTGGACAACAAAATGGCAACGGACTTATTGCATCGCGAGCAGCATAGATCGATGAAATTTGAATTCCACATTATCCTTGTAAATAAATACTGGACGGAATTCAACCATTTTTGGACCGATATTCCCATTAGCTATTCATCTTTCACAGTATAGTAATTTGCAAATGATTCCTGTTCCTTGAAGTATTAGAAAAATAAATAAAAAATATTTTCCATTTTGTGTACATAAAATGGGTACATAAAATATTACGCGAAGGCGTAATATGAGTAAAAGGCACCATTCCGTCCGGACCAGTTTACGTTAAGCAGTGGACACATTAGCCGAATCAATCGGCGTCGAATTTTATTCGGCCGAATGGGTGGACACACTAGCCGAATGCCAGCTCCTTAAACACCTGGATTATGGCCCATGATTGTGCGAAAAATCACATTTTTAGCTTTTGGATTCTCTAGAGGTCCCATTTTTATACAGTTTTAAAAAACGATTCAATGTATCACCGTTGCACCTTAATGAAGGTTGGGTAAGATTTTCGGAAAATCGTAACGAAACGTCCTGACAAAATGGCCGCTTCTTATACGAAGGTTTTGGACCCTCTAGAGGTCAGAATTTTTGTCTGATTTTTATGAAACTTCAGACCAGAAATTCCTGGATTATGCCCCCTGATTGTGCGAAAAAGCGAGGGTTAATTTTAGCTTGTTCTCTATACTCTATACATCTCTTGCAAAATGTGGGCTTATGTCACGTGCCTGGCAACCGCTGGTTTTGAACTATTATCGCACCAACCATCTCTTTCTCTAAATCTCGCATAATATACTTTTAATACTTATAGAATCAACTTAAAGTTATTTTTGAAAGCGATTTTCCCCCTTTCAATGAGACAAAAAAGATTGGAACGATGACGACTATATAGGGTTTTATTTATGCTACAGGACAGACGTACAGAGTACTCAGTCAAGAAGTTCGAAGCAAACCGCCCAGTCCACAACAGCATGAATGCGACACCGGTTGTAAAGGAAACCAATAAGTAATACATATACATGTACTACTTTCATGAATCAATACTGTTATAAGTTCACATGCCTTCTACGTGTGACGTCACACCACACATCGTCGATCATTGGCTCGATAGTGCGTGCATTGCATGGATTTTTTTTATCCAAATGTACTTTATTTATTTTCCTAATTCTTCAAAAAATGTTTAACTTTTACCAGTTTTACAAGTTACCTATGGCATTATGGGAGATTAGATATAGTTGAAAGTTCTCGCTGAATAGTTTAAAAATAGATAACGTAAATAGAATATGCTGAAAATTTCAGTCAAATTGCTCCACTCTGAACCGATATATTATTAGCGATTAAATTTTAGGCCTAGCCTCGATCATCATTACTAAAGTCCGTACGATAAAAAAAAAAGACTCAATTATCCATTTTTACGTTTAATAATTTTTAAAAAATGTATTACAATCCGCTATAAATATCGCAGGCTAGCGATGGCATCGAAAGTTGATTATGATCTGGATAAGTTATTTGATGTCTAATAATTTAGATAACATTTCAGGCCTAAAGAAAGACTGCAATAGGCAGATTTAGCCCTTGCATAATGTATGTTTAAATACGTTTCTTTCCCCATCTCAACATCGTCGGTATTGTCCCACTGCTTCTTATTTTATCCTCTAACGGCATACATAAGCCATTATCATTAGGCCTACTTATTGACCGAGTGGACAAGAATACTGCCTGCGGAGCTCTATTGTCTTCACCCAATAATTTGTTATTCTAAATTTGAAATTTCAGATGAATAGGCCTACTGTATTGACAGGGTTCGTGATATTGATGATTGTAACATGTGTCACATCATGTGAGTAGCTATAGTATATTATAAAAATGCAAAGAACTGACTATGTGGACGTATATTGTTGTCACCCCTGTCCGTCTACAATTTGTTTGTGGGCACTCTACAGGTCATAGGTTTATATCTGAAAGATCTCGGTTCATTTCGATATTGGCATGTATCGGACTGTAACTTCATGGATTATGGCCCCTGATAGTACGAAAAATCATGTTTTTCGCTTCCGATTTTGATAAAACTTGAAATGTTTGCTTATAGCTCATCTCTTGCAAAATGTGGGCGTATCTTGCATGGCAACTGCTGGTTTAAATTACAAAACAACTCCTTGAAACTAAAAAGCTCCTGGTTAACATAAAAGAATTGTCAATTAATGGACTCCGCAAAATGGCTTGATCAATTGAGTACTGTGCTATGCTTATAGTTAAGCGTATGCTATGTTAAGTTATATTATGTTATGTTATGATATTAAAAGCAGCTCATAACGATTATTTTAAGCGAGTCAATCCAATTTCGTTTTCCAGTTGAATGTTCCTGTCCACCAGGAGAGTATGTCAAAGTTCCTTGTAAAGCAATGATATCAGCAGTTTGCGAAAACTGCAAACCAAATACTTATAATGGGCTAAGAGATACCAGCACATCGTGCGATGATTGTTTGCGTTTTTGTTACTACACAGCTGAAGTTGTATCACCCTGTACGCCAATTTCAAATCTGAGATGTAAATGTAAAGAGGGATATATGGAACAACAAAGTGTGGATTCAATGACATCATGCATACTAAGGCCTATAGTAAAATCAACAGAACAAGGTAATTTCTCTAGGCAGGGGTCAATTACCATTTTTGAATTGAAAAATCAACTAAATTAGCATAAAAGAATTGGAATATCTTATAATAGTACAATTTGTTGACCCGAATAAAGATTGGGACATTTTATTTAGTTACAGCCAGAGTGGCATTGTCCCTTTAAAGAGGACAGATTATAACGTCCAAAATATTTCGACATCGCTATCCCCACAAACCTATAAACAAAAAAGGAAACAATTGGTGGTGCATGTCATAACCCTTATATTAAGTGTACGAGAACTGCACTAGAAATAACCAAACAGAAACCAAGAAGACAAACCCGCGGACACACACAAACCTAAAGGCACTGGAAGTAGGCCTATAGTCCTATCAAAATACAGTATAGTATGATTGGATTGATCCCAAACTACCCTGTACAAACAAAATTTTAATGAGATCATCAGCTCTTTTCTATCTTTTTCATACACTCCTATTTCATGTGGGATTAGGCCTATATTTTAGCTGCACCACCCGTCCGTCAGTCCGTTCACAACCATTATAAACGTATAACGGTAAATCCCTTTGATCTTCGGGGTATATTCTATGCCCGGAATAACTTGCGGTCTGAAAGTCGGGGTTTGTTCTGATTAAGTGGGTGATCAATTGGCGTATAGTTTCATTACATCGGTGCCTTGAGTAAGTTCGATAATGAACATTTTCTGCTCAGGGTAAGCAGAGCGATAAGCAATTTGATTGGTCGAGACTTTGGAGCACAATAACTCTCATTCTAATTGAGCAACAATGTTCACATTTGGTGTAGGTGTTTATTAGGTGAATGCCTTGATGGAGGTCGAAGATGAGAATATTCTGCTAAGGGTAAGCAGAGATAAGCAATCTGATTGGTTGATGCTTTGGAACACGATCACTTTAGTTCTAATTAAGTGAGAGTGATGAAACTTGGTGTATAGTTGGGCACGATAACTTTGGTTATAATTAAGTGAGAGCTACGAAACTCCTAGTGTGGATTATAATTAAGTGAGAGCTACGAAACTCCGAGTGTAGATTCATTATATCAGGAGCGATAAGCAATTTGATTAATCAAGACTTTGGAACATAACAACTCTGCTTTTAATTGAGGTAGAATGTTTAAAACTGATGTGAATGTCTTGACTGAGTTCAATGATTAACATTTCCTGCTAAAGCTAAGCAGAGCTAAGCAATTTCTTTGACTTTGATTCTATCTGATGATGTATAGTTGTTAATCAGTTTGATTGCTCGATACTTTTGAAAAAGATAAACGTGGAATTAATTAATATGTGTCATCTATTTATTCCGGGATTTCAGCGGGGGACATTAGCCTCACTGTTGACTTCTTAATAATGTTATTTTTTCTTCTAGTTGTTACCAACTCTTCAAACGACCGTTTGGATTCTTCCAATAATTTCACGAAATACACGACTACTGCAGAAGATTTGAAATCTTTACATAAAAACGGCGCAAGATGCTCAGGTGAGGAACTTTGTGTTGAATACGGTATTGTTGGACGCTCAAAATTCAAATTGTATAAATACCGGTAAATTAGTTTTATAATATACTCTTCAAAAAAAGTAGGGGATATTCAGAAACAATACAAAACTGCGGAAATACAATGCTGTTTTTATTAGAGGTAACCATCGTATGTTAATAACAGGCCAATTGCTTACACATGAACATAAACAGTCGCAAAGAGATACACTGTCAAAAGTGAAAAAGTACGTTTTTGATTTTTGTCTTAAAAAATAAGTAATTGCTCCACCAATCCTCAGACATTCAGCAATTCGTTGTGGCATGCTCTTATTCAACCGTCCAATCACGATTTGGGGCAATCTAAACCAACCCCTCTTGCAATGCCACGGCCAATTCTTGCAGTGTTGTCGGTTGACATTGACGAACACGTCTCCCGATCATGTCCCAAACATGCTCTATAGGGGAAAGGTCAGGACTCAGCTGGCCAAGTCATATGGACAATATGCTGACGATGGAGGTAATAATTCACGACACGAGCGCGGTGGACACGGACATTATCACCTTGAAAGATGAAACGTCGACCTGCACATTGAGCAAAGGGCAGATTCGAACTATCGGTGCCAGGATTTGGTCACGGTTGTACCCTTCAGTGACCCTTCCTTAAAAATATGCAAGTCCGTTCTGCCAGGCATGGTGATTCCTCCCCACACCATAACAGACCCACGCCCGAACCTGTCATGCTGTCTGACGTTAACGTTAGCATGACGCTCATTTACACGCCTCCAAACGCGAGCACGCCTATCGGTGAAATCCAGAGTAAATCTGGACTCATCTGAGAACATAACATGGATAGGATAAACCAGCACGCGGCAGTTTTCATCAACCCTTCCTTGAAGTGTCAAATTTGACAACGAACCCCTCCTACGTGTATGGCGCTATCGCGTGTCACATTTGTAGCTCAGTGGTTCTGCTGGGGCGATAAGTTCTTCATCTGTGAACATACTCTCAAAGCATGTCAAGTGTCCATGGCTATTTATCATATCACATCCTGCATAGGTATTTGCATTTCAATATCCACTACTTTTTTTTGAAGAGTATAATATACGAAATACGGCGTTATAATTTTAGAAATAATTTTGAATTTTATCGTCATCTTTTCAGGTAGCCTTCCAGTTTTAACAGTTTTCATCTGTATAATATTGGTTTTACTCTACAGCTGATAAAACTACAAGCGACTATTACTATTACTGTGATATTCAAAAGCTGATGTGATAGTATAAATGATAAGATGTGCTTTCAATCATGGGGGTCTTCCTCATAGCCTCAAATACCGAAAAAATGAACACATATACAATGAGAACTAATTTAGATAGCTATAATAAATAATGCTTTATGATTTGATAGCCCCAATTTAACAAAAAGAGCATACCCAAACAATATAAATAGGCATAGCGTCATTATGGAGGTTTATGTTAAATACCATATAAGCTAATAAAGGTGTGTCAAGAGGTATTTTATTGTGATCAGTAAAACATATGTTTAATGGCGCATTGGCTTTCTAGAGTAACCTATGTTAAATATTTAACAATAAATACGAAATTGGTTGTGATTTTATTTATCTATTTATGACTATGGCTTCCTGCGTGAACAAATCTGTAGAACAAATATGAAAAAATGTTGAAAAAAAAGAATACATATATTATGGAGGCATAAGAACAGAGGTGTAAATATACATATGGACATATCATTATTTATAAGATGTGGTTGTATGAACCTTCCAAAACTGGGATTTCATATGTAATCTTCTCTATACCGTATTCAATTATAATATTTATAAGAAGATATATTTTCGCTAAATAGGCCAAATATCCTTTTGATCCAGCCTTATCGGAAACATTAAAAGTGAAATGTTAAATTTGTCTTGATAATTTTGATTTATTTTTATTTTTAAGAATCTAATGATGTATTCCATTTTCAAAATAAACTCTCTATATATTTACAATTAGAAACTATATTGAAACATATATATAAATTCGAGATTGTATCTGTGATATATATAATATATATTTATAATACAGACTGCCTATTTCTCTGAATTTATGTTTGTATATACAATTCTTTTTAAAAAAATAAATGATGCGTAGATGATGGTACGCACGAAACTATCAACAGTTAAGAGAATTCAACCAATTTTCTAACTGAGCATAGGTCAAATCAAGACATAAAATCCCAAACAAAAGACAAGGAGAAAACAGACATAAAATTTAGGCAGGAAACATGTTCAGATTATACATTTGTCTGAACTACTATACTATGATTACGTTAATTTCCCGGGACTGGTTGGGCCCCAGCAATGACATCGCGGGATGGGTTCCCCGGAACTGGTTAGAACCTATTGATTGGTAGAACCTCTAAGTTATGTAATTTAGTTAATTTTAGGGCCTAACCGATCTCTGGGCCCCCGAAAATCTGTTGGTACCTACCAGTCCCGGGGCCCCCAATATCTCCTACTGCCCAGGGCCCCAATCCTCGCCCCCTCAACCCAGGTACTGGTTGGCTCCATCCGGGATAAAATATTAATATTGTGGGGGGCCCCTAAATTTGTCCCAATTTGCCCCCCCCCCCTCTTGACTGATTTATATTTAGACTATTTTGTACATTTCACCGATGTGGTCACTTGTATTGTTGAATTTTACTACATATGCTTGCATTCGTATTTCTTGTGGCATATAGCAGACCATGACTCATGGGTTGCATTCCTTATTGTTTTCAAATTTGAGTGAAGTCTGTGTCACTACAGACCCGGGACTGTACAGCGCAGTGGACGCTTACGGCTAGCCCCCGGATCCATTCACTTTTTTAAAATTTTTTGGGGGAATTGTTTGTCTGTTTGTGTTTTTCTGAGTATGATATCTTGTCCGTGTATTTGTTTTTGTGTAAATTTTGTGTGGTGCAATCCCTCGGCACTTACTATTAGATCCGGTACTGGACAAGGGTTTCTCCGTTGTGCATTATCGGAAGACACCCCTAGTCTATATAATATTCACGAGGCGCAACGGATTATCAAGGTATCCTCGTTGTAAGGACGAATAGATAATCGGAAATAAAACCCCAGAGGCGGATTCAAGGGAGGTGGGGCGCCCCCCCCCCTTATTTTCGACAGTGCCCTTTTTTACTGCTGAAAGTGCCTTTTCTCAGACCCAAATATGTCCGTTTCCAACCCGTTGCAGGGATCCCAAATGACTCAAACCATCGATTCAAACACACCAGTCTAGTATAATTAATGCTTCCACTTTCAAACGAATTCTTGTTGTTTAGCTGACGGTGCCCTAATCCTATAGAGTAACTATAGACAGACATCTTGTGGAATCGGCGGCGTATACACTCATGTCCATCACCGACGCGAATGAGTGCAACTTGATGTAGCATTGTTTCATGTGTGGACAGTACAAAGTACAAGTTACAAGGCTTAAATAGTGAAGTGGCTAGGGAATAGATTCTTTTTTTTTCCCATCATAATGCCTCGCTCGCCCTTGACAATTTTCGAGCCGCATGTTCAACTGGCTTTTTTACTCGATTTTAAGGCTCTTTTTCAACGATTTCCAAACGTTTACTTAGACGAAAATATCAGCCAAAAAAAATCCCCTCTCCGCGGTCAGTGCCCTCATTTTGCGGCGCCCCCCCCCCCCGCCCCGCCCCCTTTTCAAAATTCCTAGATCCGCCCCTGAACCCTGTTCCATGAATGATGAATGGACGTCTTTCACTTTGGTATAAATTTGGGCAGATTTGATTTCTTCTAAAACTCATTTCAATTTAGAACTTAAAGATACATTATGGGAGATCACGAGTTGGCAGTTCTCACTATAATAGTTAAAAACTACATAATGTAAAGGCAATAAGCGACCGAAAGTTCCGCATAGCCTCGGCCATTATTACTAAAGTCGGTACGACAAAAATCCTTAAATCGAGAAGGAAAGTTATGCAGCAAATCAGATCATAATCCAACAATTATCGCAGGCTAGCGTTGACATCGAAAGTTGATTATGGTCTGGATACGTTAATTAATGTCTAATTAATAGTTTATACAAGATTTCAGGCCTAAAGAAAGACCTGCAATAGGCAGATTTAGCTCTTGCATAATGTATGTTTAAATATTCTTTTCGCCCACAATGTTTATTTCTAATGGACCTTCTGAATATGTATTTGAACTATAATATTTGAAAGTAGAGCGAGAGAATGGCTATATATTATAGCAGTTCATTGTATTGAGTTTATTATATTATTGTGCTTTATACTTTTACATTCATTTATTAATAAACTTCTAAACCCAAAGACACATTTCCTTTCTTCGACTTAAATATGCAAACAAAACAATAGGTATACCATCTGTCGACACTTCTAAATTTTGCCCCGAAAAGCGATATCAAATAGGGGACACAACTTGCAACATAAAAGACGCAGAAAGATCTACGATAGATAAGGCAATAAATGCAATCTCTAACAATGTGTATTTTAAGTTTTGGGATTCGAGAGTTTGGTCTGATTACCTGCACGGAACTGACAGAAATATAGAATCCCAAAACGCTAAACCCATTTCCTTAGATCTAGAAATTTTCCCTCTTAACCATAAAACGATCAGGAAAAGATATCCCGGACTAACAACAGAACAATAACTTTAACGACTGGATAATGAAAACCTTGCCTTTTATACTACAAACTTCCTGAAAGTTCAGAAAAATCTGATTAAAACGTTGGCCTCTACATACCTGACAACAAATGTTAAGAAATATATATTGGGCTTGTCTCATTGTCTTCCAACATTGAAACATATTTATGAACGAAAACTATTCACATTACAAATTATTTTGTTTTAAAAAAGGTTATTACTCTCAAATACTTACCACCACGACACTGTCCGCACTTGACTGCATGTGCGGGTGGCTTGTCAGTACAATAAATAAGATACTTAGAAATACTTGAAAATGAAATCGAAAGTAAGTCTGATACTCGAAAATATCAGCGTTTCAGAGATTTTGTAAATCAGATCATTCTTAGAAAACAACCCTATAATAAAACCAGTCAAGAGAGAACGCAATATGATTTAAGAATCAACAGTAGGCTATTTGTATATACTTGTTCGCGCCATCCATAGTTTCCATAACATTTTCAGCTCTCGTGTATAATGTCGACAGTGTTCCTCATTATACCGTAATGAAAAATGCCGCCAAACAAGTTTTAAACATTTCCATAAAGATCTTTGTCTTATATTGTGACCCGTTTTCCGTTCATAAGATTTCGTAAATCAATCGTTAACGCGGAGATAATTTCTCAATTTAAGGTTGGGAATTTCTAAATTTCTAATGCATGGATTTTTCTGTATGACCAAATGAACAATCCGATATAAAAAATACTGTATCCTGTCCTGTGGAGGGCTCACAATAAAGGTTGAACGGACTAACAAGATTTACGATAATATGCGTCCCCTTTATAATTTCAAATTGTTATTTATTTTCAAGACCACTGCAATAAGTTTATCACTTCGAAATTTAACCAAGAATCTGGCAAACAGTGATTACGATAAGGGCATAACAAACCTTTGATTAACATTCGTATCGATCAGGAACAGCGACCATCTTAAATATCATTAACAATGCAGGGGGGATCTAAGAATGGGTAATTAATTCCCACTCAACACCAAGCCTGACAAGCAGGCCTCGTAATGCATTTTTACTGGAGTTTTTACAGCAGCCGGAGGCATTACGTGCTTTAAAAAAATCTATTTCTTAATAAAAGCTGTGAAACTCAGTTTGCGTTTATTACCCCCACATATTAAGCTGAACTCCGATTACAAAACTACAGAAATATAAACAAAAAGTTAACGCCCTAAACAATCGCCATATTGACTGTCCGTCTACCGCCTTGAAATCACTTTATATTTTAAGTAACTGTAATTTCTACACATTTCCGGCGCCCATTCAACTACTCATACACATGAATTCTAGTCGCGCGTCAGTTATTTGTCAGCGAAGTATTGTAATGTCTCCACAGGGAAGAATTTTGCAGACTTTAGAAGTTATTTTCGAAATTTCCTGGGATTATTTAACTTGTATAATAAGGACAAATCCTACATCAATATTTAGAGTCGTAAAGACGTTTAAAGATTAATATCTCAAATTTACTGGAACTGTTTGATTGCTCGATGTGCTGATTCAGTTATTTGAAAAAAAATATTAATCTTGTCATCAACACCCTGTAATCATCTCCTGAATTTTTACGGTTTTTGATCTGGAATTCTTTGAATACTTAAACTTTGTAATTTAAATCAGTGTTTTTGAGAAATTGTTTTCAAGCTGCTAGTGCCTGGCAGCATTTAGAGATACAATAGTTTTGGAATCCCCTTAAAGAATAACACAATAAAACATTTATTAATCTAGATAAAGTTAAATATATAAAACATCGTATCATACAAATCAACATTATTAAATAGCATTAACAATACAGTAATATATACATTTATCGCATAATATTTTGGGGAAAAAACATTAAAAAATATAGTAATACAGATATTGCACAATATGAAAACCAGTTATATGTTGATTAATAAAGTGTACGAATCCGTAAAAAAGCTGAACTTTTAAATTAAAACATTGATTCCATCTTGTGTTTGGCAGTGTGTGTGTGTGTGTAACGTTATATTTTAGTTTTTAACATGAGCTACCCCTCTCTCTTTCTCTGTGTTACACAAAGGTAAACGACTTGACTACAATAGATTTATCATAATAAAAATTAATATATTTTTAGTAAATTAAATACAAGTCCAATCCATGATATACAGTAAAATAGAAAAGATTTATCAAAGGATGAACCGTTTTAGCATGGCTTTCTTTCTATAGATTTTTTGCATATC